TTTTTTTTTTTTTTTTTTTTTTTTTTGGTACTGGGGGTTGAACTCGGGACCTGTGCTTGAGAGGCAGGTGGCTGAACCTCAGAGCTAAATCCCCAGCCCCTACTCCTTGTTATTTTTATTCCATACTCTCTTTTCCTTGTTGGGACATAGCTCTTCCATTCTCTAATGCAAGCACACTGTGCAGGCAAACCCATCAGAGCCCAACACTGACAGACATCTCCATTGTGTTCTCAAGGGATACAAGGGACTCAGAACCCTTCAGCTCCCTCACAGCTCCACCTGAGGTCTATTCCAATCCTATCCGAAATTTCTATGAAGGATACTCAATGTCTGCTGAGCCCATAAATGCTAGTTCCAATTTGTTCACTTTTTTTTTTACTGAGCTACATCCCAGCCCTTTTTTCTCTTCCTTTTTGAGACAGGGTCACTAAGTTGCTCAGGATCCTCCTTGTGATCCTTCTGCTTCTGCTTCCCAGAGTACTAGGATTACAAGTGTGCTATTTGGCTCAGTTTTGTTTGTTTGTTTGGTTTTGCTTTGTTTTTGGTATCAGGGATTGAACTCAGGACCTTGCACTTGCGAGGCAGGTGCAGAACCACTGAGCTAAATTCCCAGTGCTGCCTTTTTTTAAAACCCTAATTCTTTGTCTTTTTTTTTTTTTTCCTGTCCTTTGATGCCTATCCACAGAACGGAAGTGATAGGGGGAAATTCTTTTTTGCTTATAATTTATCTGCCCTCTTTGTAAAAGATAATTTGCTAGGCATAAATCAAAAGCTAACCATGATTTTCTCTCAGCATATGCATGCCAACCTTCAGTATTCTGGCTGTCAAAAGACAGCTGTCAGCCTCTCTGCTGGCCCTTTGAAGGGTCCCTGCTTTTCTCCACTGCCTCTGAGGCTTTGTCTCTGGGGTTCTGCAGCTCCACTGTGATGGTTTCAGGTATACCACACTTCATCTATGCTGCTTGGGCTCTGCAGGCCCTCAGGACTAGAGTAAGATTTACTGCCTGTGTCAGCCTCCTCCCAGGAACCTTCCCATCCCCCCTCCTGGGAGTCAAACCCTGTACTACTCCCTTCTACAGGAAGTGTGACAACCAGTGTAACCAAAGGGTATTGTGGGAATGATGCAGTGTAAAAGCCACTGTAGCTTCCACTTTGCTCTCTCCACTGGGGCTAGAGGGGGCTGCCAGGCTGACCCACATGGGGAGAATCCAGGGCCTCCCACCAGCCTTGGAGGGTGCTACCACAAAAGCAGTCCTCTAGCCATACTCAGGCTTTCAGATTATTGTGGCTTGGACTAATCGTAATGTTTTGACAGACCAAACCAAAGCCATCTAGCTAAGCAGCTCCCACACCCCTGGCCTACATAAACTGAGGCAAAATACTTTTTGTCTTAAGTGCTAAGTTCTGGGGGCAATATGTTATGTAACAAAAACTTTAAAACACTACATGAATTTTGAGTAAAATTTCCCATTCATGAACATTTTAAAATAAATATTGCACTGAATTATTTTTGGGAAAACTGGTAGGTTTAAAACATTGAATATAGCCAAGTGTAAACCTGTAATTCCAGCAGGCTGAGAGACTGAGGCAGGAAGATCACAAGTTCAAGCCTACCTTGGGCAATTTATCAACTTAGTGAGAACTTGTCTCAAAATAAAAACAAATAAAAAGCTAGGAATGTAGCATAGTGCAAGGTCCTGGGTTCCATATCCAGTACCCCCCCAATTAAATGTCCATCCAGTAACATGGTACATATTTCCATAAAGTGTCCCATATGTTACTCAGTAATAGCGTTTCTTGCACGGGTATTGAAGAAGCCAGGAGTGGTGGTGCACACCTATGATGCCAACACTTTGGAGGCCGAGGCAGGAGGATTACTGCAAGTTTGAGGTCAGCCTGGGCTACATAATGAGTTCAAAACCAGCCTGAATTAACACAGTGAGACTGTCTTAAACTATATCCACACCCAAAAAAAGAGATTTTCCCTCCCTCCTTTTTGCTTCTTTTGTGGTACTGGGGTTGAATCTAGGGAGGGCCTTACACACGCTAGACAAGTGATCTACCACTAAGTGACATCTAGAACACTTTTTCAATTTGAAACAGGGTCTCACCAAGTACCTTAGACAGGCCTTAAACTTGGTCTTGCTGCCTCAGCCATCCAAATTGCTAGAATTATAGGTGAGAAACACTTCACTAGCACAAGATTTTTTTTTCCTGCAGCACTAGGGATCAAACTCAGGATTCTGTACTTGCGAGGCAGGTGCAGTGCCATGGAGAACAGATTTAATTTTAAAGATTTCATATTTCATGTTGCTACAGTAAATGGAATCTTTTCCATCACAATTTCTGGTTATTACTATTATTATTATTGGTACCAGGGATCAAACTCAGGACCTTGAGCCTGCAAGGCAGGTGGCAGAACCACTGAGCTAAATCCCTGGCCCCTGGTTGCCTATTTTTAGTGTGTTGAAACTAGTAAGTAATGGTAATCATATAATCAAGTTTCCTCTTTCATTTGTGCGCAAAAATGTTTCAACTGACTTGAGATTTTTCTAGGCAGATGATATATTTCTGCAGTGACCATTTAATCTTTTCTATCCAGATATTTATAGCACCTTAGTATAAGTTTGATTTAATTACTGTGGTAATCAAAGTTTTGTAACATGAATTCTTGTCTGCTGGGTTGAAGCTGTCCTAGGTATTCTTATTTTCCATAGGAACTTTGGTTTGTGGGATCAAAAGAGAAAATAAGTGTTTATAGCATTTTTATTATTTTATTTTATTATGATACACAATCATGTAACGCCTCCAGAGAATCCTCCTAAGCTGTCAAGTATTCTTCATGAACACAACATCTCTTCCCATTGGTCAGGTCTCTGATTCTTCTGGAGGGTTTTGAAGTTACTTTCAAACAGGCTTTGCTTATTTCCTAATGTTATTCCTGTATCCAGTGTAAGCAGGCCTTCTTCACTAGTTCATCTCTTTCAGCCTGCTGTTGAATCTATATGGATTACTGTCCCCTCCTTCTGGACCCTAGTAGTGGCCTCAGGGCCACAACCAGCAGCAGAGCCACAGAGCAGTGAAGGGAAGAGGCCCAGGAACATTGCACAGGACCCAACCTCGAAGTGGGGCCAGGTGCAGCAACTCCTTGTCCCCAGGCAGAAACCTGGTGTAGATTCAGTGTCTCTCCATATCCCGGCCTCTTCAGCCAGAGGGACCTGTGGTTTTTCCTCACCACTTGTGCAGGCTGGAAGTTGCGCATCCATCTTCCTCCTGGGCAGTCTTCAGCAGGTGGTCACTGATGCCTGTGGTCCAGACTGCCATACAATGCTGGCCTCATAAAAGTTGACGCATCTGCTGGCGGGTTGTCACACTGGCCCTGCACCTGGCAAACTTAGGAACCTTGAAGCCACTGGGTCCTGTAGGACTTGCCTGGGAGGGCACAACATTGCCTCATAGCTTGGAGCTAGCTTGTTTCCCCTCAGCCTCTGACTCAGTGAGCATATGCGCATACACATGCACTGTAGTACACAGCCTGGCAGGCTCCCCACAGTAGCCTGGCTGCATGGTCAGGAGCCCCTTGTGCACTTGTCTGGTGACAGCCTGGACCATCTAACTGGGCTGGGACCCCTCCCTAGACAGAACCACACAGGTAGTCTGGCTTCCTCTGCTTATGGAGTGTCCCCAGGTCTGTGCAGCTGTGTCTGCCCCTCTGGCCACTACTACTGTGTGTGAACCTCATTCATTGCTTGCTGTTCAGGGGCTGGGGACAGGGGATTTGATTCCAGCCTGGGGTTGTCACAGGCAGAGATGCCATGGGTGTTTCAGTGGTAGCTGAACCTGGTAGGGAGGGTACTGTCCCTGCTAGGGGGACTTCATTCTCTCTGCCACTTCGGGATACTTCTCCTAGAAATGGGAGGCACTGGGTACGGAAAAGCACTGGACTGGTGAGGGCTGAGGTAGATGTGTCCCGCACCCTCTTCCTCACCTCAGGTGGCTGCTCCACTGTGCCCAACAGAGGGAGGAAAATGGGGTTCAAACTATCTTGGTGGCCATAATAGCAACAGAGAGCAAGCCCCTTGTCCCTCATACAGTACCCCTCTCTCCTGGGGCTCAGTAGCCTCTTCTCCATGCCCTGAAACCATGTCCCACCTCCCCGCTTGGATTTCCAGAGAAGCCTCCTGCTTACCCAGTCCTGCGTCTGCAGTCCTTGCACAGTGCTGCTCTGGGTACTTGGCTGGCCCCAGGCTGCCACTGGGCTGTGAGGGGGAGGGAGCTGCTTGCACTCCTCAGCGCACTGCGACCACCACGTTCTCTCTGGGGGACACAGCTGCCCGCTGTCCATCTCTGCTCCCTGCGAGTGAGTCCGCACCTTTGGGCTCTCTGGGAGGCTGAGCAGGATAGGGTGGAGCAGGGTCCCCAGCTCCCAAGGCTCCTTGGCAGCAAGGTGAGGTTCTGCTAGGGTCTTCTTCCAGCCCCTTGCCCCGCTGTGGGCCCTCCGGGTGACCTCCCACAGCTCCTGCATCTCAGGCAGAAGCTGACGCTGCCCTTCTCTGCCTCTGTCCTGCTCACCGCACGACCTGATCAGCTTTTCACGGCCTCCCCGACACCCTGTCTAGGACCCCTGCTTCCCGCTTATGGGTGCCTGCCCTCAGCCGCCTCCCTACTCCACTGTGACCTTGCTTCCAAGCCCATGACCTGGCCCCAGGCCTGCTTACGACCCACTCACCGGGTCTGCACTGCGGAGCGTACAACTAAGGAGCCAGGGAGAGTCCGGAAGGAAGCATGGTGGGGAGGGGTCCTGGGGCGGGGCCTGTGGGGTCCCTGCCCGGAGAGGGGCGGAGGCCGTGGTCTGACGTCGGACAGAGGGGCGGAGTCTGTGGAGGTCAGGAACAAAGAGGGGAGGGGACCGTGGGGTGAGGGACCAAGGAGGGTGAAGTCTGTGGGGTCCAGACAGGATTGGGCTCACCGCGGAAAAGCGTCGAACGCAAAGCCCAGACACCAGAATCCCAGAAGGCCCAAGCAGCGGGGAGCCCTGCCTTAGGAACTTCCGCTCAATGCCTTGCCCCAAGCTTCCGCTTCCGGTCCCACGCACGCCCCCACCCGTGTCAGTGTCCCCCACGCTGTGGTAGAGAGGAGTCCGAGCAGAGAGCGGCCAGAGTGCCCTCAGTTTATTAATGTCGCTTCAGCACCTTAGAGTCGTCCACATGGCCACATGGGACAGATTAGCGCCTATTTACATTAATCCTGCTTCCCACTTAAAAAATTAGCAACACGTACACTGTAGACACCAGTCACTGCGAGCTGGGAGCAGGTCTGGGCCTACCTTGGGACCTTGGCCCCTCTGCAGGGCAGGGCAGCCAAGGTGCTGGGAGGGACAAGGACAAGGCCAGGGACAGAGGTGGCCACGCAGGGAAGCCTGGGGCTGTCTGGCTGTGGCTAGTGGGGCCAGGAAATCTATTTTGAACAGGGAACCACCACACCCACTCCCCACTGCCCTGGTCACATCAGCTGTCAGATGGCTTTGGCTTCTCACCCCTCCAGAGGTCAAAGTGCTTTTCCATGAATCCCTAGAACAGCTCCATGAGGTAGGGAGGGAAAATGAGACCATCTCTCCAACTGAAACTGAGGCAGTCTGAAGGGAGGCTCCACCCGCACACTTTACTGACACAGAGACTGCTGTAATAGGGACTGAACAGCAAGCGCTTGGTGCAGGACAGATGGGCACTAGCTCTGCAGGCCCAGCCATGGGCTAGTCGCTGGATGGAGGTTCTGCCCAGGGCCATTCCTTACCTGAGCAAGGGTGGGACTGTGGGGCCAATCACAAGGGAGGTGGTCTCCAAGAAAGGGCTGTCCACAGCAGGGAAAGCTGGGCAGCTCCTGTTCCCTGAAGGCTAGAAAGCCAAGCCATATCCCTTTCCTCTTAATGGTGACTTTTAAGAAGAAGCTGGATGGGAAGATAAAACAGGCCCTGAAGCTCAAAGGCCAATGTCCCCAGCACTTGACACTAAACTAGCCTGATCCCTTTCCAGCTCTTCAAAGGGCCCTGCAGAGAGGCTGCCTGCTAGGCAGTGCCTCAGGCTCTGGTCCTAGGTGAAGGGTGAAACACAGCACATCAGCAGGGGCTCATGGGAAGGACATTCTCAGGCTACTCAAGGCCTGCACCCAGGGAACTGGGGCAGAACCCAGGCCTAGCTCCTAGCTCCAGGGCTAGCACTGGACAAACTGGACTCTGTTCAGCCACTTGGGACAGGAGGAGGTAAGCAAGTAGGTCATGGGTAAGGAAATGGGCCATCGTCTCAAGAAGATGGGGCCCCCTCTATGACTTGGCCAGTCCTGAATATGGCACTGTTTTCTAAGCAGAGCTTTGTGCAGCCCTCAAGACACCAAGCACAGAGCTTCTGGGAGGGCCATTAGTGTTTGTGGCAGGGCTACCATTTCCAAGGAGGGAGCCAGGTGGCTTTTTCTAGGTGATCCCAAGTGTGGATTTGGTGAGAGAAGCAGAACTGAGCTATTCCCCCAAACTTGTTGACCTGCTGAGGCAGGTAGTCTGGTGAACAATCTTCTCCTGATGCATGGGCAGGTGGAGGCAGGGCTTCGCTCCAGGATAGGATCCTACTGTTCTCAGAAGCATGGTCAGGAGGGCCCTCAGCACTGCAGGGGTACCTGGGCCCTATGACAGGCCAGCCTGCCTAACCCTTCGCTGGCCACACAGTTGCTTAACATCCTGCATATTCACCGCTCACCAGTTGACCAATCCTGAATCTCAACCCAGACCCATATGACACTGCCGGACAACAGGCAGGTAAGTGGGTGGACAATGCACAGAGGGCCTGGACGCTGGACATTTGTGGGGAACCCCTGGGCCTAAGAGTCCAAGTCTTGGCAGCCTCACTCTCAGACAAGTGAGGGGATGGGGGTGGGTAGGGCCCGGTGGGGATTTCAGGAGAGCAACAGCTGTTTGGCAGCTACATGGTAACATGTATTTGAGAGCATTAGAAAGATCTGCTACTATAAAACCTCTGCCTGGAGGCTGGAGTTTATTTGGAGCCCCACAGTGGGTGGTGCTGGGATGGAGGGGGTCCCTTGCCAGGAAGCTAAGCATCCCTGCAACCTTTGGCCTCTCACAACCAAGCTCTGAGCTCCCTGCGGAAGCAGTGTCCTGGCTTCTAGAAAGGGAAGGACACAGGCAGAACCCTCCTTACTGTGAGCTCTGGGGTGCTCCTGTGGGTGGAACACACCTTCCTGGGCCAAATGTCTGGTTAATAAGCAGAGCAATTACTTAGCGCCCAGTAGGGAGCTGACCTTAGTTTCCAGCTGCAAGTACATTCCTACTTAAGACTGTTGCTTTGCGTTTTTAAGGATCTGTCATTGTAATAAATTGAAATGTTAACAGAAACCTCGGCCTCTCCACGGTCCCATGCCGGCCCCTCCATGAGTGGGGCTAGAAGGTAGCCTTGGAGTGTCCAAAGATGCAGATGGGGAAGTGCTTCACATGCGAGGACCACTGGGCGGCCAGCTGGAAGAACTTGACATCACTGCACTCCACGCCGTCGATGAGGACTGTGGGAGAGTACTGCCTGACTGCCTGCCCGCCAGCCCACCCAGCCCACCACCTTCCTGTGGGCCAGAAGGACAAGGGGCCCAAAGCTGGAGACACAGACCACCCGGGAACCCTGCTCACCAGGCCCTTTCTGCTGCCTGCCCTCAAAGGACAAAAGCCCAGCCAGTGTCTCAGCCAGAAGCTACTTTTCCAACACTCTCCTCCCAACAGGGTCAGGTGTGAGACTTGGCAAGCCCCCCTGAAAACAACTGCATCTGGAAGTCCCTGTGCCAGACCAGGATGACTCCCACCTGGAGGTCATCAGACACAGATAACAAAAAGGAAAACCCAGAGAACTCCATGTTCTGGATCAGTTCTTTGGGAAGACCCTCTGTCAAACACTTTGAAATATACAAATCAGTTTTTGAAAAATACAGAAAGAATTTAAAAATTACTTGGATTCGAAAAGCTTTTCAATGCATTCAAGTGCGTGCTTCATCAGAACATGTTCTGAGTGTAAACTATGTCATGTGTTTCACAGCAAAACAAGCAGTATTTGTGCTAGATTTTAAAAGTCACCCCAAGAGCTGCCCCTCCACTCTGCTATTATGTTTTATAGATGGAACCAAATGAGACCGTGGGTCACAAACCAGACCCCCAATTGCCCAGCTGCTATGCTCACCCCGCAACATGTTCTGCTGATGCTTGGCTGTGCAGATCAGGCGGCTGATGCCCTCGATGCACTGACTCTTGGATTCCACATCTTTGTCTTTTGTTTTCTTGGGCAAAAACATCACTGGGAAGAAAAGGGCCCTGCTGTGTCCCACTGCTCCCTCAGGCCTGGCTGGCCAGAGCTCCTCAAGCCAAATAGGACAGGAGGATTGCCCAGGCCCAAGGAGGCTGCATTATCCAGCATACTTTGCCAGTCCCCACTTGAGGTCAGCCCTGGGCCCCTCAAGTTTACTGAGAACTAAACATGGGTATGCTGGTGGGTGACGTCTCCCTGTCCCAAATAATCACCAAGGTCCACCCTCTCCCACTGTCCAGCCCTGCTCAGCCCACCCCCCACCTCACCCTTCTTGTTCTTCTCCTTGGTGACCACGGTCATGGACATGGTAGGCGTGGCTGTGACCTCGCCACCGCTGGGCAGCCTGCTGACCTGGAGGGACCGGAAAGTGCACTTGAGTGTGTTTTTGGTGGTGGGCAGGTCCTTCTTCTCGGCATCCCTCTTCCTGTCTGCAGAAGGTGCTGCTGTCCAGTAGTCCACCTGTAGCCCCATGAGCTCGGCGCCGACACCCTGGCTGTGAAAGGCAGAGGGAAGTGCTCACACTCACAGCTGCCATTCTGGAGACAGCAGCATTGCTGTCACAGGCAAAAAGTGTGGCTGGCACCTGTCCTGACTTGCTGGCCACGGACTACAGGATGCTCTGTTGGGCCATTTGCATGAAGGCTGGGTGGAATGCCAGTCAGTGCCTGTGGCCCTGGCACTGTTGTCATGCCAGGCCAGCTGGAGGGCCTTGGTTGAGGAGTTAGCACTGCCTGGGCCTCAAGGCCCAAACCCCCCTGTGAAGCCCGGCTCTGTCTGGGTGAGCAGTGATCAAGATCCAGGTGGCCTGGCAGCTGCCCCCAGGAGGAGATCTGAGGAGCCTATAGCTGCCCCACAGCTTCAGCCACTCTTGAGAAAGAACCCCCCAAGAGCAGAGCTGTGGGAAAGCTCTGAATAGCCCATCGGCATTTGCAGCATAGTGACTTCTGTCCCCTGTGCCACACAGTGAAAAAGCTGGGCCCACCCCATGTTCTGATTGCAGATGGCAAGGCAGGACCTTGGCCACAGGGCTCTGATGGGTTGGATACATGGGGGTGAGTGTCACCTCAGAACAAGCAAGGTGATGATGTGCCATTTACCTGGGAGAGGATAAGCCTCCGCTCACCGATGGCGAGGATGGTGGGGTGGGTGAGGCCTCCTTGGCTGCGGGCGACGTGGATGGTGGGGTGGAGGAGAGCACACTGGGTCCTGAGGGGGCTGCATCATCTGAGTCACCTTTGGGAGGAGTCACAGGCCAGCAGTGAGGCTGTGGCCAGGCCTGGGGGACCAGGATCTGAGATGGCCATGAGCCCCTCTGGCAGTAGGGCAGGGATTGGGACAGGCAGAGAGGCCTAGGCCAGAGATGGTAGGAGGTTCTCTTCCTTGTCCAGGAGTTCTGCATGGCCTAACTCTGAGCAAAAGTGGCAGGGCTAGACCAGCCCCACTAAGCTCAAGATACCACTAAGCTGCAGGACCACCTGTCCCAAGGACCACTCACTTGGACTCAGGAAGGGATGAAACTACCTGATGTGGCAGAGGATGGCTCCACGATCCCCACCTTCACAACCTGGAAAGCAAGACACTACTGGAGGCCACAGGTTATCAGCCGCCCCTCCACATGCCCTGCCCAGTCCCTGCCTTGGAGCTCAGTTGGATAGGCCCGTGTCCTTACTGCTGCCATACTATTGTCCCCAGGACATAGGAGAAGCCCACGAGTCTGGATGTCAAGACCAGGAGGCTGGTGTGAGGGATACTGCCCTGCTACAGAAATTGCCCCAGAAGCCTGTGTGGGCTGAGTGAAACAGCACTAGATCCATACTATCCAGTGTGGTGGCCACTCACCTCAAGGCTGTCACTTCTGACTGAACTGTGACAACAATTCAGGATCTTAGCCACACGGTGATGGGTCAAGTGCCAGAGAACACAGGGTACACTTGTCACCACACAAAGGCCCCTGGGAAAGGCTGCTCTATGTGATTGTTATTCCTATGGGTTAGCTGCCATCCATATCCCTCACCTGCCTGGAGGTCACTGGCCTCACTGCTATAGGGTCTCCCAGTGGACCCGCAGCTACAGGATGTATGATGGCAGGGCAAAGGCAATGCAGATGGGGCAGGAGGGAACAGGGTGCCCTTAGTCACCTATTGAGGGAGGAACCATGCCTCAGCCCAGCCAGAGCAAACTGGTTGTGCCCTCCCTCTCTCTAACTCTCCTCCTGAGCTGCAATGCTGGGCCCAGCACCATCTGAACTTATGCCAGTGCTCATGGCAGTGTGGAAAAATGGACACAGGTCCTACCTAGATGGGTCTCACCCCCTCAAATATGGGAAGGAAGCAGCGGGCTTAGCAGGGAGAATCTGAGGCAGTCCCGGGCTCACAAAGGGACGACGCTGTGGACTACGTGGGCCAATGTAAAAGCGCTCTTAGGAAAGGGATCCTGGCCCCAGCACCTGGCAGGGAGAGTGGTGGTACTTACCCCAACGAAAGGAATGAACCTCTGAGAGGACTCTTCATCAGGGCTAAGAGTAAGGAAAACCCAGTCATGCTCCCCCGGCACTGCTGCCATCTTTCTTCTGGCTCTATACCATGGCAGCAGCCCCAGGCCCAGGGACCCATCCCTTAGCCCCAGCCCTGGCTTATCCTGGCCTCAGCCCAGTTTGATACTTGGATACCCTGACAAGCCACATGCAGGAAGGGAGAAGGATCTTGGTACCTGGACAACCAAGGTGAGCCCACAGTTGGGGAGCAAAGGTCTTAGTATAGGCTCACAGGGTTCCACCCTTCCATCCAGGTGCCCATTACACACAGGTACCAGCCAGCTCAGCTCAGTCCTGTATGTGCACGCCACCCACCAAGCTGGTTCCCTGCTGGACCTGGAGCCACGCAGGCCCCATAGACCTCAGACCTTCTGGAGAGTAGTCTGAGCCTTCTCCAACCAATTTGGGGGCAGCCTCAAAGTCAGGGTGTGGACGTTTCCTCTTGATGGTCTGGGAATTTCCAACTGCTCAGGCTAACAGTACCGCTCAGGGACAGCTCTGTGGTGGGTACCATCCAGCACATGGGGTTCTAGGGAGTAGCCTCTGCAGGGAGCAGGTCTGGCAAGGTCCATGGACAGCTAACCACCTGCCCCAAACACCAACTCCATCTCCATTTCCTCAGAGCCTGCTGTGGGCAGAGGATTCAGACACATGGAGTGCCCCCAAGTTGAGACAGCAGTACTGTGTGGTCCTGGCCAGAATGCAGGCCCAGCTGCTGCCAACTGAGGCAGGTCTTCGCAGGGGGTCTCTGCCTCTCTTCCATCTCTACCCCTAAGACCTGGCAGAATCCATGGATCTACCTCTACAGATTCTGTTTGTACCACTGAAGATGCCAACCAAATCCCCAGTGTTCATTCACTCTCTGGGGAAAGCCACATCTCAGATCTGAGAGCTGGACCCAGCCTGCTCCGACTCATGGCCCTAGGCACAAAGGATGTCTCATGGGGTAACCATCCACGTGGGGTATCTCCTGTCCCCTTGGGTAGGTCAGTGATTGGAAATCTCAGTGACATTTGAGTCCTTTTGGGCCCAGAAGGTCAAAGTGGCAGGCAGGTGGTAATGGTCCCCAGCATGTAGGAACTTCAACCCCCAGGGCCATCTGCTCTCCGCAGGGCTCCCACAATGGTGGCATAACAGCCTCTTATCCATGCTCTGCTCTGAGTTACGCAGGGGCAGAGCATGGCTGACCAGGGCCACATGTGGCCAAGACACAGGAGACGCCACGATATGAGGAAGCGGCTGAAACTCAAAGCCAAGCTGCGTACTGGGCCATGCAGACACCAGCACAGGCATAACAGGGGTGACACCGGATCGCCACAAGAACCCAACCCCAGATGTGGAGGGGCTCCCGCACTATAGCTCATGGGCTTCTGGTTGGGCTCCTAAGATTGGCTGCAATACAGAGTGTGATGGCTGAGGGCCCAAGGGGCCCTCTCACCCCACACCAAAGACATGTGGGACTTAGCTAGCTAGTCTGACCTCAACCCAACCACCCTCACAGGACGAGCCCTGCTCCTGGCCAGCAGGCATGGTGTGTGCAGAGACAACACAGGCAAGAGTACCTCAACAGGGCTGGACAGCACCAGGCAGGGTTCTGCTCCCTCCCCAGAATGCTCGGCCTCATGGGCACCCATCCCCACCGCTTGCGTGCCGGTGTCACCTCTGTAAGGCAGTGGGGTGGGAAGGGTTCGGTGGGAATGGAACAAGGTCTCCTCATGCCTCATTCTGCTGTCTGCGAGCCAACCCTGACAGAAGCTGCGGCCACTGGGAGGGACATGCTGCAGATTCCAGAGACCACTGGCTACACAGCCAGGTGGCCAGGGCGTGGGGTGGGGACATGAGATGGTTGGTCTTTCTCTTGACTTGTGGGGCTTGTTTAGCAGAACAGTTGGGGTGCTCAGAGCCCGCCCATGGCTGGGATGGCTGGAAGACAGCGTGTTTGGTCCCTCATACTCTCTGTACCAGGGTGAAGGCAGCTTCCCCAAGAGAACAGATGACCTGAGGCAGGGGCAGAAGATACAGTGTGGGATTCACTTGGCCCAGGAAAGCACTAGGGGTGCCTGGGATTATGCAACCTGACACATCCAAGTTTCCAGAGGGTGCAGCCAACCTTGGGGATAAAAGTGCTTTACCCCACGTGGGGTTACCCCATGCAGTGTGGCTGCCTCCTCAGGCAAACTACAGAAGATGCAAAATGTCCCTCTGCCCTCTGCTGACTCTGGAGCCAGACTGAGATGAGAAAACAGTGGCTTGAGGTGGGGTGCCTTGAACCAGTTCTGTGACCTCCCACAATGATGTCCCTGAACAGTGGAGACCAGGTCCACCAATGTGAAGTGCTTGGGACAAACTTAACATGAAATGGCTCTGATCTCAGCAGCAATGGCCAGAGGTCAGAATGGTCCTGGTGCCTGCCTCTGGTTTAGCTGAGCAATGCTATCTTAGCCTCAGAGTCACAGACTTGCAAAGGTCTGGACCTCCCCCAGCAGGCCTTGCCCAGGCCACATAGGCCCCAGAGACAGCAGGGCCACCTGCATCTCCTGCCTCATACAAGGCTGGCAGAGGAGAGCAACCCACTTGATCTTCAGTTCACAGGGACCCTGCCTGAGGGTTCTTCCTGCCACCCCAGGTATCAGAGGAGAGGGATTTGGGTAGTGACTGCTAAACAAGCCTTAAAGACCAGCCTGGGACAGATAAGGGGGCACAGGCCAAATAGCTGTACCTTAGAGTAAAGTCAAAGTGAAAGTGCCTTTTCCTTTGCAGATAGCCACCAAAGAGAAAACAGATACGTTAAGGCACCACAGAGTGGTGTGAACTCCACAGCCCAGGCAATTCGCTGAACCAAGGGCCAGCCTCAAAGAGGGTTTCATGCAAGGACATCACTGTCCTCTCTACCAGCAGTTGGGGAGCACAGGATCTGGCCAGGAGAGGACTGGCCATTCCCTTGGATCACAATGTGCTTCATAGACCGTTAATTTAACTCTCTCAGTTTAGGGCAAATATTGAATGTTGCTTAGAAATCAGCAGCATTCTGCTGTCTAGACCTCATGGACTGTAGGGTCTGCACCACCCTGGATGAAGGGCTCTCACCCACCAAAGACTTGTCCTCTGCTCCCCTTGTCTGCAAGTGGGGCAGCTTGTCCAGAGGCCTGACCAACACCTCGGGTGGGGCAGGGGGGGTCAGTCACCCAACAGGACTTCTACCCAACCTAGGCTTCTGCTCTAGGCAAGTGAGGGTACACACTGACTGTTCACCAAGCAGTAAACCCAGGACCTATGAAGCCCAGGCTTGGAGCACTGTATTGGAGAAACTCCAGCATACACAAAGACAGGTGCTTAAAACCCAGCCCACAATCCTGGTCTGATATGGGGTCAGCAGAGGCTCCTGCTGTTCAGTCTGGTCTACTTGGCCAAGTGTGGACAGGAGGCCACAAACAGACAGTGGCCGGTGGCAGGCTGTGAAGTAGGGCAGGGCAGCTCCTCCATCAGGCTCCCCCGAAACCTGGGCCCACTGTATTACCTCTTCTGCTTGTAGGTCAGCATGGCCTCAGCAATGGGCAGCTGGTGGGCACAGTTGGCCCCTGCGATGTACTGGGTGATGCGTGACACGATGTCCGGTGTGTCCTGCACTGCACGAGGAGGCGGTGCTGAGTTGGCATGAGCCGGCCAGGTGGGATCCAGGTGCAGGGAGGCTAAGGTGTCACCCATGGTCCCAAGATGAGGGGTGAAGGCCTCCTCCCCAATGCAGCAGACCTTTTCCCTGGGGCTTGTGGCCTTCCCAGCAAGCCTGGGGCTCAGCCCTGCTTGCTATCTGAGGCTGAGAAGGACCAGGCACTTGGGGAGCTCTCTTGGAAAGGGTCTCAGCAACAAAGGGCCCTTTCTCCAGTGCAAGGGGCTGTAGATAGCAGGGGTGTTCCCTCTCCAACCTGGCCTCACCTACACTCTGGGCCTCCAGCTTGTTGAACAGGTCTCTCCAGGCCAGGTCCTGGAAGAAGTTGTGGTAGCGGTAGTCCACGGAGCCCAGGTACCTGGCCACAGGGTGGGAACCTGCATGCCAGGGGAGCCATCACTGCACGGCTGGGCTGCCACCCCATAGCCGCGTGTTCCCTGGACCCTCTGTGCTGCACTATCATGTCCATTGGAGGAGCTGCGACAAATCCCACCTCCTGCAGCTCCACTAAAAGGCCCCCAGGACACCAGTGTCTCACACTTGTTGACAGACTGGCCATGTCTGTTTTGCAGCAAGGGGCACTGCACAGACAAGAGGGACCTCAACTACCATAGGCCCAGTAATTGAAAGGGTTTATTGCTGAACCTTCCTTTGCATTTCTGATGGAGACCAAATCTGGCATCCTAAATCTCAGAGACTGGCCAAGGGGACAGAAGCTCAGCACTGGTGTTGCAGGGGCAATGGCTTTATCCTCTTACCCAAACAACTTTTAGGACAATTGTGTCACTTTTCATTTAAATAAAATGAATAATGAATATACTGCAAAAGTTTTAAAACCAGGGCCGGGAATGTAGCTCTGGTGTCACACCTGCCTGGCAAATGCAAAAGGTCCTGAGTTCAATCCCTGTTACGAGGAAAACAAAAACAAACAAAAAATCCAGAGACATATCACACTAACGCCTCAACCCCAAGCACAGCATCTGAACCATCTGAGCCCATATGCTCAGTGTCAGGCTATGGCTCTCACCCAGGGGGATGATGAGAAAGCGCATATAGCCCAGCCAATCAGGCGTCTTGTGCGACAGCTGCTCCACGAAGAGCCTCAAGATGGCGCTGAGGTAATGCTGTGCTCCTGCCACTGCGATCTTCACGGGTGTTGGGGGCTGGGAATTGCAGTTGCAGCTGCGACCCAAGGCAGATGGGGCAGAGAAGGGACAGATGCCTCAGGGGAGCTGGTCCCCTGCCCAAAAACCATCCTGCTAAGTTCCAGGGAAACCTGGATCCCCAGCCACAGCTGCTCTTGCAGTAACAACCCCAGGAAACCACCAAACCATGGACACTACCCCTGGACCCCTAAGCTGGGGTGGCATCTGCCTGAATGCACCTGAAGCCAGGGGACAGTGACCAATAGAAGCTGCCTCTCCCCTGGCCACCACTTCCAAGTTATAGGACACCCCCCGGAACTGAAGCAAGGGCAGGGTCTGGGAAGCCACTGCAGCCCCCAGGACAAGGAACATTCCCCATCTAGGAAGCAGACAGGGATGGGGTGCCCAGCACTTGGGTGGTGGTGCTGGGCACCCCAGCCCCTGGTGGACCCCAGGGATGTAGCCACAGACTCACTATCTCTGTATCCGTGAAACGATGGTGCTGAAGGCTGCCTGGACATCGGCGGCGGAGCATGTGCACACTACGGGGAGTGTGTGCCTCTGCAGGACATCAGAAAGGAACTAGGCGGGATGAGCAGACACAGCCTCAGCACAGCACCTGGAGCCCCTGTCCATTCCACCTTGGCTCTCACAGAGTCCAGGGAGATCCATGTATGCCCAGGGAAATGCCTGCTCCAGCACTGCACCCGGGGCAGGGTTGGGGTATGCTGCTCAGCAGGGCCCCTGCTCAGCTGTACCACATGATCCCAACTTCAGAGGCTGCTCCTACCTGCCCCTGCCAGTCAGAGGTATTGACAAGAATGATGTTCTCGGGGAGCTGGTCATCGGAGATGAGGATATGGTTCAGCTGGTCATACACAGTCTTCCTGGGGATCTGCAAACACCAAGGCCATCCACAGAAGGAGACTGCAAATGCCTCATCCTCTTCCCCTAGCCCAGTACCTCTGCACCTGCTATAGCCACCAGCCATGGAAACCAGGGAGCATGTGGACAGCTGCTCACTATACACTCAGACTGCCCTGCATGATGACCCCATCCCACCTACAGTGGGCACTTCCACAGATGTGCTCCAGGGGCCCTGCCCCTACTGCACCTGCAGCTGGCTCCTCGTTTCTGGGCAGCGCTCATTGTCCAGGCTATTGGCCCGCTCATTCTGTGGCCGTGCCGGCTGCCGCTCCTTCAGGGATGTGCTCCGGCCCCGGCGGCCAGCCGGCTTTGCCTCAGACCTGTGGGAACCAGGGCAGGCTGGGGAGTGGTAGGGCAGCTGGGGTGGCAGAACAGGGCAGGGAGGTGCAGTTCAGGGCAGACCACAAGCTCTTGTGGACTGCACATTGTGCTACACCACGAAAGAGGGGGCAAGGCCTTGAGCCACACAGAGCCCCAACCCTGTGAAGGTCATGGGCAGTGGCACAGGACCAAGACTGGGTATCTATGTGGGACCTGGTACTCAGCTCCATTTCCTCATCTGTGACCTGACAGGGCATCTTGAATTAAGGATGGAGCCCAGACTCGTGTACCCTGCTTGAAAAGTAAATGCCAGTGCCTAGACTCTACTCTGAGACTCTACTCTGAGCTCGGATATCACAGGACCATATACATGAGCCTGAATGGCAGGGATGGTACCTCTGACCCAGGGCCTTTTACAATGTCAGTGGGAACAGCTCCTATATGGAGGTGTAGGGCCATGGGTCTGATGCCAGGTGGCGGGCTTCTGTGAATGGATCTGCACAGGGTGACAAAGAGGCTGGTGAGCAGCAAGAAGGCTGATGTGGAGACCACAGTAAAAGAAGTGGCCTGGGCCTTGGTCAGAGTAAACAGTTGCCCCAAGACCCCTCATGCATGTGCTGTGAGACCAGGTGGGCATCCCAATGCAGGTCATGGGCAAAAGCACTGAGGATACAGCTAAAGATGCCGGAGTCTGAAGCCAGGTGTGGTGGTGTACATGTGTAACCCCAGCACTCAGGAGGCAGGAGGATTGCCACGAGTTTAAGCAGCCTGAACTACACAGGAAGACCCTGTCTAAAACAAAAAAAGGCCAGAGCCTGGGACTGGCGGGGCACCCATCGTAGTTCTGATGTCCCTCCAGGATGGGATACATCCAAGACAGTGGTGCTGAGGGAGGCCAGAAGATGTGGTGGGGAGCTGGGCTGTGCGGAACCTATGCCAAGGAGGGTCCTCAGAGACGGGATGCCACCACCTCCAGGGAACAAAACCAAGGAGAGGGTCCCAGGCTCCCAGCATGTCCCAGTCTGGGCACTTGGAAATTGTGCCCCTGGTCTGACCGAGATATACAGAGACAGGGCCCTGTCAGCACAAGACACTCCACCCATGGCATGGGACCCAGACTCACTCCCAGCCTCCTGCACCTCCAGGCACACAACACACACAGATATAGCCTTGGGACTGTCCTGGACACAGGCTGATCAGGGCTCAGGCCCTCTCCTCCTGCCTGTTACTGCCTCCAGCCCCACCAAGCAGATGCCTGCAAGGAACTGTAATTGCAGTCAGCCTCCTTGTGAGTCCTGTGCCCTTGCCTGTCCACCCAGCACCCTGGAGATGGCAGCATGGGACTGGAGGGCTGCCTTCAATCTGCAGGGGTGCTGGCTGACAGAAAACCAGGTGGAGGCAGCTGGCCAGACCAGGTTGGCGGTCTAGCATGGTCACCCTAATGTGGGCCCTGCCCCAGTGGGCCCTTTGAAGGCCCGCACCTGGTGGATGAGATGACGAGCGACTCTGTCTTGGTGATCCTCCCACTGGGGGGTAGCTTCTCGGTAAACACATCCAGGGCGGAGGTCTCAGCCTCAGGGCTGTCCTCGGGTGTCTCTGACAGCTCCCGAGGGGCTGGTGTGCTCTGATGGACAGAGAAGGGAGCTGTGTGTATGTGCCTAGCCAGCAAAGGCTCACTCATTGGAGCCTTCTTGCATCCCTACATGCGGCCACACACTACTCCAGGGGCCCTTATCCTCCAGCCCTCATCCAGCGCTGCAGGTAGACTAGTTTGTCCTGTGCCTGGGCACTGTCCCTGGGGCATCAGGAACAAACCCACTGCTCCCAGGCCATGCGTGACAGCAACACTGGGTCGTCATCCCACAGGGCCCTGATCAACCCTGGGGATGAGTCCAGGGGCACCTGACTGCCTGGCAGCCTGGCCAACCTGCCTTGGCGTAACACATACTCCAGGTGGTATGGCTACCAACGCCTTTATGTGGCACCCCTGCACACCAAGTTGCCTGGCATGTGTAACTGGGCAGGTGCCACCAGCACCTGCTTACCAGGGCTACCGTGTCTGAGATGCTGTCACTCGGCTGCTTGGCTCCCAGGGACCGGATCTTCTCAGGTATGTCCACCTGGGGTGGAGACGGGAGTCAGGCTGTGCTGAGCAAGCACTGAGACTGTCTCGATTTAGGCCCCAGGGAAGACAGCAGGAAACTGGTGGGCTACAGGCTCAAGTTTTCCCCAGGATGGTCCCCTACCCTCAGGCCTGAGCCCAGGATATATCAGAGCCCAGCTAGGGGCACACCCACTAATGTTTGTCCAACACATCCCTAAGATTCACAGACAGGAAAGTCCCCTCCAGCATTCTCCTAGAATAAGGGTGGTGAACCTACAGCACACGTGCCAAAGCTGGCTATTTGTTATTACTGAAAGCTGAAAGATTCTCCATCACTGCCCTAGGACATTTGTCACTGCACTCACCGGGCTTGGAGGCTCCTTGTGGCTCCGGACACTGTGGATACTCCCGATCTCTGTCTGTGAGCTGGAGTGCGACAAGCCCTCAAAGTACGGCCTGGCTTGGGGGAAAGGGTGGGCATTACTTTCTAAGATACCCCACATTGAAAGTAAGGCGCCACCATACACATGATGGGGGAAGTGGCAGGGAGCCCAGTGGCAGAGCAGAGCTGCATCCAGAGGAACTGGAGTCTTGAAAAACTGTGTTGGGCACATGTCCACCCTGGAGGAGCTGGGTGTGAGACCACGGAATTCAGATAACTGGGCACCCAATCAGCTCAGCTTGTCAATCTGCCGTGAGATCAGTCACAGAAAACATGTGTCCTAAAATTCTGTTGTGTGCACCCTTGACCCAGGGCAGGTCTGTCAGCAACACAGGGAGCTCAAGTGACAGCTCCGTTCCAACAATCCTGCAGGAGGATGCCCACCCAAGACCTAGGGATTGGAACTAGTAGAAAACAGAACATTCTCAATAGCACAAGGAAGGCACCATCAGCAGACACAAAATTCAGGCCAATAAGGCAGACCAGGCTGACCTAGACCAACCTAGACCTACCAGATCCTTTTAGACTAATCCAGACCCATCAGGCCTTTCTAGATCAATCCAGACCCACCAGACCCTTCTAGACTAATCCAGACCCATCAGACCATTCTAGGTCAATCCAGATCATTCTAGACCCATCCAGACCATGCCAATCCAGACCAAAAAGGCCAAACATGTTTATCCTCAGCAGATAAAGTATGCTGCAAATGAAAAAGAGGGCAGAAAAGACAGACCAAAGAGATATAAAGTCTACTTTAAACTAATATTTCAAGCAGCTGGTATGCCCTGTGAATCATGAGATTATGAACAATCCTGGGATGTGGGGTGTTTCCCTGTGTATAACCACCCAGAATCACCATGCTGAGTTGACCACATTTTTATCCCAGAATCACGGGCAGGGACTGCTCATGCAGTCAGCACCACAGAGATTGCAATGGAGGAGGACTTGCTGATGTAATCCCAGGACCACTGTAAGCACAGAGCTCACTCAGGCTGAGGGCAGGGAGTTGAAGTGGGAGGAACCAGATCCCACATGTGAGGACTGACCAGCGAAGGAGCAGAAGCCAATATGTAGGAGTGGTCACCAGGTGGCAAAGATAACAGGCAGCTGCCAAGTAGCAGGGAAACTAGACTTTTATCCTGAAGTGGCCTGGAAATGATTTCTACCACAACCTCACTAGGCCTGGAAGGTACCCTGAGACCTAATGAGGGATAGTGGCCAGCACTTCAACAAGACCAGTGAGAGTGAAATACCAAGCAGAGAAGGATCAGCATAGGATGTCATTCCCCAGGACAGGCAGCAATGGCCATTTCAAGTTGCCACAGTTACTATGGTGGCAGCTAGGGGAACTAATGGGCCATCATGCAGAGTGGGATCACAGGGTGAGGGGGAGCTGCAATTGTGCTAAGACCAATTGTGGTCTTGCCTCTGGTGATGCAGGAAGCCTACTTTTATTTTTTCTCTTCTTAGTTTTGCTGTGCTAGGGATAAAACCTGGGGCCTCATGCATGCAAGCCAGTGCTCTGTCACTGAGCCGCAGTGCCAGCCTGAAGCTTTCTTGTATGTGCTGCTCAGTATTGTTCAAGTTAGAAAGTTTAAAAACAAAAGGTCCAATACCAAATAGTTTAACTGGTGTGAAAAACTAAAAGTGTAAATAAGGATCAAAATATATAATTGATAATGTGAAATAGGAAGAAAAGGTTCAAAGGGAAAAGGGATGGATTGGGGAAAGGAAAGAAGGGAATGGAATTAACATGAGAAAATGAGAAAATGGAAACAAAGTCTTTGTAAATAGTGAGGGGTGGAGGGGTTGATGGTAGGGCAAGGGAATGGGGAAAAAATAAGAACAAAGATAGATTATGTAAAGGTACAAATTTCCAATGATGAATGTCATTATACTATACACCTAAAATGCACCAATAAACTTAATGAAAAAAAAAAAGGTCCATAAGCCTTCCTGATTCCCACTGAGGTCTCCCCATCCTCAGCAGCCACACAGAAGTCCTATGCTCTGTCCTGAGGCTCGTGCCTCCCCAACCACATAAGATTCCAAATGCTCATGGCAAACCCACACATGGACCTTCCATGTCCACTCCTCCAGCCCAGCATGGGTTCAGCCAGCTGCATGCCCAGCCACAGGCAGGCACCCAGCCTGACACAGCAGGAATCCTTTTGTAGTTCCCAGGGTCACTGCTGCCCTTCTATAATGGGCCTCTCAGTCCTCCATGCTTGTCCACATCCCACCTGCCTCCATGCCCAAGCTCTTGCCTCCCAGAGAATGCTCCAGTCCACCCCATTGACACTTGCTTCCCAATGCTCCACCTGTGTCTTGGCCTAGTGGACTCAAGGGTAGGCCTACGTGGTCTCATCACATTGCTACTTCTGCCCTGAGAACCACACTGCCTGGTGGGGATAGCCTTCCAGGGCTGCCCCTCCCTCCACTAGCTACCTCCCACCTCTTCTCCCATGAAGGGAAAGCTGCCTGCCTCAGTCTACCACAGCAGCCTGGGATTGACCAACGGGTACCCTCCTCCTAAGCAGCACTTGGGAAACTTCTAATCCTCAGTGCCCTAAAACAGGCAGGGTCTACTGTGGTGAGGATAGAATGGGTATCCCTGGGGTGCACAGAGGGCCCTCTACTAAGATACAGGAGTGGTGCCTCATCTGGGCCTGATGTGCTCACCTGAGCTTGGGTTTGGGGGTGCTAAGGACGCTGTCATCATCCTCCATGTCGGGACCGCTGTCACTGGGGTTCTCCATGTCCAGTGTGTCATACAGAAGGTCCAGGTCCTCCTCTGCCTCAGGGACATGCTCTGCAGGGTCCTGTTCTGAGTCCAGGACCTACAGCAATGCCAGACATGCAAGGGGGCCCTCTGGAGGCCCATGCTACCTGCACAGCAGGCTGCTCAAGGATCACAAAGGGTACAAAAGAAGATGGGGTACCCTGAGCTGCCAGCACATTTTGTTTTATTTACTTCCTATCCTAATTTAGGAACTGGGCACTGGGCACAGTGTGTGGGCTCTTTACATGGTGAGCTCCTCCCCTTGACACCCTGCTGTGGGCTGTGCTGACTCAGGGAACAGACCTGAAAGTACCTGATAGCTGTACCCTTCCAGCAACAGGATGCAAAATGCCTCTCTTCCCAAAGATCCCTTGCCCTGTAGTCACTGCGTTCCCCTCCTCAGACAAGCACTGATTTGGATCCTCCCTAGACATCAAAGAATGGAGGTATGCAGGGTACAGCCTTCTGGGTCTAGCTTTTAGAGCTCAGGCTGGAAAAGAAGCCACTAGCTGATGGCTGCTCCCTGGATGAGAGAAGTTGGTACCAGCACCAGTGTGTGAGCTGCTGGGGGGGAACTAACCTTGTCTTCTCTCAGGAGACACTGGGCGTGGAACTCCTGGTCCCTCTGAGGCATGCTCCCACCCTATATGCACTGTGAACTCTGCCTGCCACACATCTACACACAGGTTTTCCAGGGCCGAGAATTTAGCTCAGTGGTGCCACTGCCTGCCTCCTAAGTACAAGGCCCTGAGTTCGATCCCCAGTACCAAAAAATAAAAACAATCTCAAGTTCCTTTTAGATCACAGCTATTCTAGTGAAGATCATGGCTCATTGTCTTTCTCTATAGCCTTGGCCCTTGGCCCATTCTTTAATTGGACTTTTCCCCACCATTACTGGAGACTGAACCCAGGGCACTTTGCCACGGAAATGCATCCCCAGCATCTTTGTTTTCTGAGACAGGATCTTGCTATGTAACCCAGGCTAGCCTCAAATTCACAATCCTCCTCCCTCAGTCTCCTAAGTGCTGGGATTACAGGCATGTGCCTCCACCACACTGGCTAGTTGATTGTTTTAAACAAATGATAATATATTAAAACAGCTGACTTAGGTACCTGCAGTGGTGACTTTGACCTCCCCTCCCAGCTCAGGGTTGAAAAAGAAATATGCTGGTTCACAGACACACAACCTAGGCTTCCCTTTGGTATCTTCTGTGCCTGTGGTCACACCTGCATGCACCTCTTCTGGGGTTTGCCTTGTGGCTGTCAAGGTTAACTTTAATGTGGTCAACATCCACCAATGGTTCCCAGGATGTCTCTCTAGTACCTGTAAAAGCCATGGCTGTGGTACAGCTTCCTGACTTGCTCCCTGGTGAGCATGAACTGTGGTGAACCAGCAGTGGACCCAAGCTCTATAGAACCCATGACCACATGGTCTTCAGAGAGATGGGCAATCCACTTTTAATTAGTTGTCTCTTTGAGTTATAACATTCCCTATACATTCTGGACATAGCCTTTTATGAGTATACAATTGGTAAAAAATATTCTATGGGAGGCTGTTGTTTCATTTTCTTAATGATACCATTTAAAGCACAAGAGTTTTAAGCATTGCCAATTGCAATTTATGCATTTTTATTTTGTCATCTGTGCTTTTGGTGTCAAATGCAAAAACCACTGACTAGTCCAGGTTCATTAAAATTTACCTGCTGTTTTCTAGGCATTCTACAGTTGTAGCTCACCCACGTGCAACTCTGACCCATGGCAGTGATTTTTCAATATGGTATGAAAAAGGGGTCAACTTCATTCTTGTGCCTATGGACGTCCAGTTCTCCCAGAAGCATTGTTGAAAAGATTGTGCATTCCTCATGGAATGGTCTTGACATCCTTGCTAAAAATCAGTTGGCGCGAACAGAGATTCACTTAGATGATGAATGCCATTCCACTGATCTCCACATCTATCCTTGTTCCAGCACCACAGTTTTGATCACTGGCTTTCTACTAAGTTTTGCAATTGGAAAATGTGAATCTTCCAATTTTTTCCTTTTCAAGAATCTGCTTTGTCTATGAGTCCCCCCTTGCATTAAAACACTTATATAAAACCTAATTTTAAAAATGCCAGCCCCCAATCTGCCTATTCTTCTCTTCCCTACCATTATGGTGCAGCCACCAAGGAAGAGAACAGTGAGGTACAATCTTCTGCATGACACTGCTCATCACCATGGTAATGACCAGCTAGGGCTGGTTCCAGTTAGATCTTACTTTGGGGGAAACATGGCATTAATTTTAGGACCAACTAGTGGATTTTTGCAAAAAGACAGCTGGGGATTGGATAGGGATTGTGTGGATCTGTAGATCATCTTGGAGGTGCACATGTACACACAAGCATATATTTACATACACACACATTTCTAAGTGAGTGCTCTACCACTGAGTTATACCCAAGGCCCATTCATATCTTCTTTAATGGGCCGGGGATTTGGCTCAGTGGTTCTGGTGCCTGCCTAACAAGCACAAGGACCCGAGTTCAATCCCCGGTACCAAAAGACAAAAAAACATATCTTTAGTTTCTTTCCACAATGTTTTCCAGTTTCACTGCATGAGTCTTGCACATTTTAAAACTGTGTTGTTTTTCTTATTGGGTTTTGAGAATTCCATATGGGAGTGGAGTATCCAAGACAGCAGAACAGTAGTCTCAGCCTCTACTACCACCCTGGGAAAGCCATGGGGCTGCCTGGGTCTTGAGGGCCCAACTCCCTGCCAATCCAGTGTGTACATAGAGGGCAAAGCAGAGAGTCAGAGATGTTTTTTCAGCCTTAAAACTCAATGTTTCCCATTTGGACTTGGGAGTTACTTGGGTTCCTTCCTTCCTACTTCTTTTCAAAATTGGACAGTTTAGTCTATGCTGGTCTCATCATCACATTTCTTTTCTTTTCTTTTTGTTTTTTGAGACAGGGTCTCACTATGTAGTTGGAGACTGACCTGGAACTCACTATGTAACCCCAGGCTGGTCTAAACTCACAGTGATCCTCCTGCCTCAGCTTCTCAAGTGCTGGGATTACAGGCATGTGCTACCACGCCTGGCTCATCATCACATTTTTAAAGCACAGAATTTATTTGGTTTCACAGGCTCACAGCTGGAAAGGAATCTATCTCAGAACAAATCCTCTCCAGTGAGTCTCACCCCAAATGATGTAGACAACATGCAAAGTTTTTGGTTCATTTGAGATAGGGTCTTACCATGTGATCTAGGCCTTGAATTCTTGATCCCTTTGCCTCAGCCTCCTGAGTGCTGGGATTGTAGGTATGTGCTCATTCCCAGCTGAGACTTTGGTCTCTAAATTCTAAGTTGATGCTGGAGTAAATTAAGGCTTTGAGGCTACTGAGATGGAATGAACATATTTTGTATGTGAGGACATGAATTTTGGAAGCAAGGGGCAGAATGCTTTGGTATGAACATTTGTGTCCCCCTAAAATTCATATGCTGAATCCTACGCTGAGGTGATATATTCAGGGGGTGCGGAGGAGATGGTGACTCTGGGAGGTGATTAGTGCAAAAGGTCATGCTCCTGTCTGCCACTGACTGAAGGAAAGACAGGACTAAGTCTGCGGGCACTATTCTCTGGGACTTCTACCCCCAGGACTGTGAGTAGTAGGTTCTGACCATGTCTTAGTCACCTAGTATAAGTTATTCAGTTACAGGAATAGGAAGGGTACAAGACAGCCTATGGTCCAGGTGGGTGACTACACATCTTGCTGTACCTTTCCTGCCCACCCCACGGCTGCTGTGACAATCAGGAGCTGGGGACAATGCCTTGTGAAAAGCCAGGGATTCTCAGACACAGGGACAGAATTGTGGCAAGATAGAGTGGCCCCTACACAAAAAGGAGTAGTGTAGAAGGTGAAGGGAGGAGGTCAAAGGCCAGATCACCTGGGAGATGATTCCCAGAAAAATGGGAAGTCCTTTCCTGAGGCATGGGATGATGGGCTGAGTCCCAGAAATCAGAACTAAATCTATTCAGGTCAGGCATATTCTGAGATAGCCCAGTTGCTGGGTGGTCAAGAAGACCCACTCCTCACCCTGGTGCTCAGGAGGGGCTGCAAGGCTTCAGGCAAGGACTCCATCTTGCTGTATCCCACCTTCAGCTGGATCTGGGAACCTCCCACTACAAGGCACAAGCCAAAAGACATGGCCTTGCCACCCCTCTAGCAGCAGGTGGCAATGTTCCTGGAAACACACTGGCTCCAGCATGGCAGGATGTGCAGTGCCAGAGAAGAGCACTAAGCAGGGGCACTAGGCTGAGCCTGGACACTGCTGCTCTGGACATGGCCCTGTGTGCATATGGACAGAGCCGTGATGTGGGGGATGCTTCCTCTCTACCATGGGCCTGGACCATGCTGTACTCTGAAATAAACAGAAGTGCTTTTCTTTTGATTATGAAAGTAACACAAGCTTATTGCAGAAAATATGGAGACTAAAGCTGAGAGAATTTAAAATTTAAGGCAGCAAGGGAGCTGGGGAGGAAGGGAAAGGGCATATGGGAGCTCTCTGTACTTCCTGCACAATTATTCAGTAGATCTGAAACTCTCCCCAATGTAAAGTCTATCTATAAAGCTGATAAACACACAAACCTTGTGTCTATTTTCCTCTAGGTGCAGAGAAACTTGGAATTTAGCTGAGCCCCTTGAGGTCCCCTGGGAGGTGGTTCCACTGTCACCCCAACTGGCAGGTGAAAGGCAACGCCCCAGAGCCAGAACTGGCCAGGGCTCTAACTCAGCACACTACTCACCTCGTCTGACACTTTGAACCTCCGCAGCAGGGCCACGACCTTCTGCTTGAAGTTCTGTTGCTGCATGACAAGGGGTCAACATCAGAAGTGACATGGGAGCCTCAAGGTGAGTGTGGTTCAAACATGCTGTGAGACAGGTGATGTCATGTGGCTCTCATGGGCTTAACAACACACACATTCATGGCATCTGAGCTGGGGCCAGCTTGGGGATGCACAGGAGGGGCTGGCAGCCCACGATCAGCGGAACAGAGCAAGACTGCAATGGTTCCTCAGTCCCTCCAGAAGCCTCTGCAGCACCAACCCCCAGAAAAGCTGCTATCTATCACCTGCACAACACCTGCTGTTCCCCGGCTACAGGGCTTCTGATCCTGCCACTGGCCACCAAGTAAGTACACAGTGCCAACCTAAGGGGACCCTCTATGCCCTGCAGGGCTGGAACCCAGCTTCCTGAGACAGGGGTGGCTTATGTGTCTATGACTTCCCACTCACTCACTGCCAAAGGGGAGCAACACCATCACCTTGGTCAGCAAAGGTAAACCCTGGCCACCCATGCAGCTATCTTTTAGGTACAGCCCACTGTGGCTCTCTCCAGCCCCAGGGTCCAGAGAAGACTCTGCAGCCCAGAGGGATGGGGCTGCCCTGGCTCTTCTTCTTTTTATTTCCCCCTCATTGAGTTTATTGGTACATTTTAGGTATACAGTATAGCTACATTCATTATTGGGATCTTGTACCTACATGTAGGCCTTGGTTCTCATTTTTTCCCCTTGTCCCTACCTTCACTTCACCCTTCCTCCCTCCCCCTTTACAAACACTTCATTTCCATTTTTTCATTTTCTCATATTTTTTTCTTTTCCCTTATTAGCTTTCCCCTACCCTTCCCACTTTCCCTATACTTTTAGCCCTTTTCACATTGTCCATTATATCATTAGGATCTTATGTACTATTATAGTTTATTCACACCAGAGAAACTATTCAGTATTTACACATGTGACTTATTTATTTCACTTAGGAGTATATCCTCAATATGTATCCATTTTCCTATGAATGAATCTAATTTCTCATTCTTTATGGCTGAGTAATATTCCATTTTATAGAAAAACCACATCTTCTGCCCTGGCTCTTCTTCAGAGCCTTACTCCTGTGCCTGCAGGTGGTCAGTAGACCCTGAGCAAGTGGAACTGCCATGCACAGGTGGTCTGGGTGCTGACCAAGGAGAGAACTATATCCCCAAGCACCCACCAGGAGGACACTAAGATACAAGGTGGCCAACCCAGCCTAATTTCAGCTCCTCATGGCCACAGGGCACGGAGCTAGGACAGGTAGTGGCAGGATAGAATAGCACCCGGGGGTTAGCGGCCAGGGGCTGCCATAAGAAACCCACTAGCTCATGTCCACATTTTTTTTTTCTATTTTGGGGTTTGTTTTTTTTTTAGACAGGGTCTCACTATGTAGTTGAGACTGACCTGGAACTCACTATGTACCCCAGGGTGGTCTCGAACTCACAGCGATCCTCCTGCTTCAGCCTCCCGAGTGCTGGGATTACAGGCGTGCACCACCACGCCTGGCTTTCATGTCCACATTCTAACAGTGGCTAACTCTGGCAGCACCAAGGGATCTGCTCCAGGGGGATTCTTGCCCACAGCCTTCCCCAAGGGCTTGTGGGCCTTGTGCCCATTGTACCCATTCCAGCTGACCACCCACGCCCATCAACAGTGCTAGTAAAACCAGCTTCCACCGACCCTGGTCATGGACGTCGTTCTTACTATCGATCTCCGCTGCTTCTCAGGTTTCCCCACATCAAAGTCGTCCTCATCTAGATCCTGTGGAGACACAGTGGCCCCTGAGTCTGTGGTCCTACCTGCCCTGGTGGCCTGCCCAATGCTGGTTCCAAGGATATCCAGGCTCCTCTGCCTCCCATTGCCTGAGCCCCCCCCCCCCAAGCCCATAGCACTTGGCCACACATACCCCACTCCCATTACCTGCCCTTGCACGGCATCATCACTGGCCTCCTGCTCAGAGGAGAAGCTCTCATACTCCTCCTCAGAGTAGTTGTCTGTGGAGAGAGGATGGCAGGTGCTCAGGTTACACCACTTCTGCTGCAGCTACATGTCCACCAAACACAGAAGGGGCTATTAGGACTCAGTCCCATGCAGGAAGGGGCCAGATATCAGCAGAGGTCCTGAACCCCAACAGTCTGAGGGCAGTGGGCCACGTGGCATGGGGCTGGTAGAAGTGTCCAGAGGGGTTGAAGGCAGAGGCTGCGGGCACTGGCCTGGACACACCCTCCCTCACTTTGGCAGGCTGGAGAGGGACAGCCACACAACAGAGATGGTAGCAGCAGGTGATGGCCACAAAGTACCATCCTATGCCAGGTTCTGTGCCCATGGCCTCAAAGGCAATGAAGGATTGGCCTCATGACCCTTCTCCATGGAGTGTGTGCAGGAATTAGGCTTGGACCAAGGAGTCAGGGACCAGGACCGTGATCACACACATGACCTTGCTCCAGGGTTTCCAAATGAGGGAACTAATGCCAATGCTTTACACTCACCCTACTTCTTCAACCACTTGGTGGCTGTGCCACCTGACAAGGTAGAGGCAGGTAGAAGCAGGAAGGGCCCAGGCTGGCCTTACGCACCTGTGGACTTGGCCTTGGGACCAGCCTGCATGGCACTGTCCTCATGGTCGATGGGCTGGCTGGACAGGGAGACAATCCAGATCTCTGCCACCTTGACAGAGGCCTCCTTGATGCTGCTGCAGAGGCTTAGCACCTGGCCACCCTCTGAGGGGTGCTGCATCACCTGTGGGTGCACACAGCTCTAGACAGCACCCCAGGAAGAAGGGCCCCTATCCCAGAGCCTGGTCCAAGAGCAGGACACCCAGTGTGCGAGAGCCTGGCTACAGAGGAGGACAAGGGGAGCCAGGAAGAGGCCACCAGCTCAGCAGGATCTAAAGGTAGATGGACAGTGTCCATGTTGTCCCTGGGAAGTCACCTGCCTAGGACTGCAGCAGCTACGCATGTGTGACATCAGGGAGGAGGGCTAGCTAATGGTACAATATTGCCACCAACTCTCGAGACCTGACATCCACAACCCATGTCAGTGGGGACTAAGGAAGAGCAGCCACCACTGCAGTTTGGGTCTGCAACAGCATGAGAGGTATACCAGGCCTGGCTCACAGGACCATCAAGCACAGTGCCACAAGTATCAACAAACCAGAGGGCACAGAAAGCCCAGCCAACACCTAGCAGCTACTGCGCCCAGGCACCACTCTAGCCTATGCTAGCCTCAGAAACACACGTAGGTGGGCAAGGGATTTAGTTCACTGGTTTCACTAATCTGCCTCACAATCACAAGGACCTGAGTTCAATCCCCAGTACCAAAAAAAAAGAAAAAGAAAAAAGGAAACACACACAGGTACCTACATATCTCTCAGATAGACCTTTGTGCTGTGTGGGTGCATGCCTCTGGGCCCAGAGAGCGCTGAACCACATTCTCAGCCCTTTTTGGTTTTTCTTTTGAGATAGTGTCTTGCTAAGTTACCCAGGCTGGCCTTGAACTTTCGATCCTCTTGCCTCAGCCCTAACCCACTGCCCCTACTCACCAAGTGTGCTGGGATTACAGGTATGTGCCACCATGCCCAACTGGCCTCTGTACTTTTCAAATTATTTCTGAGGCCATCTGATCAGATCCACATGTTGGAATTTTATGGGCTAGAGTTTTTTGGGGGGCCTAATTTGGAGTACTAACTCTAATCAGTTAGGGAAATAAAATTTTAAGAAAGTTCTAATTTGATTCATCATTATTTTAGAAACCAAATCAGAAGATCTGTGGACAGCTCTATGCCAATACTCCTCCCACTCCTGGTGCCTTCATGCGGAGACCATGTGCCAGTGTGCACCTAGCCCCGCACTGTGGATGCCACCCTCTATACCTACTTCTGTGGTAGAGCTCCAAGTAGCCATCCCTCCCTAGGGTGATCTCAGATTGGCTCAATCTAAAATCAATGCCAGATTTAGAGGCTGACACCCTGCTGCATCAGACAGGAACAGACAGATGGGCAGGTGGCAGTCAGGGCATGCAAGGGGCAGAGTGCAGAAACACACGTACTCCCAAGTGGGAGGTTGGAGAGAATGTGGCCTCTATTAAAGGTGTGTGGCTCTGTTCCCATCCAGCTGGACAGCAAGCCACGGCCCTGTCTGTGGACCAGAGCCCCTCACCAACCTGCTCCAGCCCTTTGTTACACATTTCCTTTGACCTACCAGACCAGACTTTCCCGCTGACCAGCTCACTCCACGCTCCCGGCCTGGGCTCCTTAAGGCTAGCTTCCCCTTCCAAATAGGGTCATAAAGCCCCAAGGCTGGGAGTTTTCCTGGGTTGGTACTGGTAGACAGGTTCTGCTCCCACTTCAAGTCTGGCAGTAGCCACCTGGCATAGCACCATGGGACCCTGGGCTCACATCCAGGCTAGCCCACCAGATGCTGGTGATACTGAGTGACCACAGCAGAGAGCTGAGCTGACCCAGCTAGAGGTGCCCTTCTCTTTACTCCCACAGGCCCCACTTTTATTTTCATAGAACTTTAGTGCATGGGAAACTGCTAGGGGGTCAGGCTTGTGTGTGTAAACAACATACAAATTTTGGGGAAACAGGGGCCCTAGGTTCTTTACCAAGCAATGAAAAGCAGGAAAAATAATGACAGAAATCAACACATACACTCACAGGGACACAGGAACCTGCTGGCAGCAAGGTGCTCAGCAGCCTCACTCTGAATCTCCCGAGGTTCCCTCTACAAGCCACCCTGCCAGATGCCTGGCTCCTAGTCTTTGTGGACAGGGTGGACAGCACTGCCTGAGTCCCATTTAGGAAGGAGAGTGAAGCCTGCAACTAGCCCTGGCCCCAGCAACCCAGGATGGCCCAAAGTGCCTATGGCCTTTCCAAAGTGAAGTGCAGAGCCCACAGAGGATTGAGGAAGACCTGGGGGCAGGGCCAGACCCAACAGACAGACCAGACCATATCCAGGTGCTCGGCAGAGGGGAGGTAGGGGGAAGACAGTACAGGAGCCTGGGCAGCTAATATGGAGGACAGCAACACAAACCATTTGTGGATATTCATGGACCCTGAATATAGCCCTAGAGCATAAGCCTGAAGCCTACGGGAAAAACAGGCCTGGACCTAGTCAGCCCTATTCCCAGAACTGCTCTTGTGGCCCCATGATGAAGGAGAAAAGTCTGGGCTCCTCAGTGCCCAGAAGCCCTCCTTCTTCTCCACAGTTCCTGCAGCCTCTTGGAGCAACTGATCCAGGACAGGGTGCCAGGCTGAGGTTCTCCTGTAAGTCCCTGCTGCCTGGCAGAGGATGAGTGGGGCACCCCTGTGGAGCCCGTTGGAGAGCCCGGAAGTAGGGTGCACATGGGTCTGAAGCAGGGATGGGAAGCAACCCAGGGGGTGGCGTACAGTCACCGTTGTGCAGCCCTGCTAGAGGCACCTGCTGCACTGGTATGGACATCTTGATACATGAGGGAAATCCGTATGAGCAGGGCTGCCCAGACCTACCTAGCACTCACCTCAGCCATGTTGATGGAGCCCACAGCCAGCGTCTTATAGCCTAGGATTGTCCGGTTTTTGTACCGCTTCCTGCGCTGCAGCATGATTTGAAGCTTGTTGCCTTCTCTCTTCAAGAAGTGAGGGTACTGCAGGCACAAGGAGCTGCCTGAGGCACACCTGGCACAGCAAGGAGCAACCCTGGTGCTGCTTGAGCCCTTGCAGATGCCCACGTGTCTGTGGCACTGTGCATCCCAGCTGATCAGCCAGACACAACTGCACCTGGCACATGCACCTAGAGAGGCACATTCATGGGACTGATATTCATGGCCCTTTCTCAGGAGTGCAAAGTGATTCAAGCCTACAAGTGCAGGCCTTGAGCAGTAGGGCCCATCCCCTGGCTGCAGGGCCGCCTGCTACACACCTTCACATGCATCTCAGAAGTCCAGGGCCAATCACAGAAAGACAGCAGGTGAACTACATGTTTGGCAAACTGCACTGCAGGGAACTGGGCTCCCATGGGCTGCAGATGCAGTGACGGGGCTTGTGGGGAAGGAGATGGGGAAACTCAGGAGTCCTCTAAACCACAGTGCAGCTCTACATGTTTAAAAGAGAAAAGAGGATCTTAAGAGGCTTAGGATGAATCGATCTGGAATCCACTGATTGGGTTTGGAATGAGGTGCCTGATTTGTTTTCTCAATAGGGCAAAGATCTGGAGAAGGTGGGAAAGGATCTCTACTTCATCCTGGTGGGGAAGTCAGGGGCACACAGCACGTGCCTACTAAGCTCACCCTGAAACATGCATAACACACTCGATGTCCACATGGTTTGCTGGTTTTTTCTAAAGATGAGGATGAAACAGCCTCACCTTGATTGTTTATGCTTCATCATTCCATGTTATCACAGGAAAAGTATGAAGCACAACATAATAAACCAAGAAAACTTCCTAGTCATTTAAGAATAAACAGTAAGAGAAGATTAAAAGAACAAAGGAGGCACCCAGGAGGCCATGTCATCACCAAGGGCACTGGCCACTCACCTGCAGCGAGAAGGTCAGGGCCAGGTCAGTCTCCACTTGTCCACTGGGGGGCAGCACAATCTCATGAGACCTCAGGACCCGTTTGGAGCCCTGCAAAGGAGACAGCCGCCTTCCATTAAAGGGCATCTTACAGTGAGACAGGACCAGGACAGGGGTCACCAGAACTCTACGCTTCTAGAGATATAAGCAAGTACAAGTGCAGGGGCACTGTGGGAGCCCAAGAATGTCATTGTCCTGTGTCCACCCATTCTCTGAGTTCTGCACTGGAGTGAGGGGAGCTAATCATCAGCCTGCCAGAGCAGATGCAGATAGGAAGATGAAAGCCAGCCTGCAACTGAAAGGCTGCAGCGTAGGGGCCCTGCAGGCCAAGGACCCTCACAGTGACTGTCCTACAAGTCACAGTACTTGAGACATGGAGACACCATCACGGGCATCTAGAAGTAGATGCAGACTTGCATCTTATCAGGAAGTGGGTAACTCAATGTTCAGATCAAACAGCAGGACCCAAACTCCTGCTTTATACAAGTTGGGCTCCCGGTGCTTTACAGACCTCTGTCGCAGTGCTGTTTAAGGGATCTGTTCCAACAGGGGAGCCCTGAAGACTCTGCAGCTGTGCCAAGAGCCTGCCAAAAGGCTCTGCAAGCATCCAGAGCAGGTGGACAAAAGTGGGGTTATAGAAGGGGTACATGGGCAGGCCACTCCAGAGAGGGCAAGAGAAGCAGAAGGGGAGGAGAGAAGGGGCAGGAAAGGAGGAAGCTGCCTGGGTGTGGGGTGGCCATCATGTAGGGTGAGCCCACTTCACTGTCCAGCGGCCCAGCTCAAGTGCAGCCCTCCTGTGTAGCCCTCTGCCCTCCCTCCTCTCTGGATCTTGTGTACCAGCACAGGGGTGATCTTAACATCTGGCCTCACAGGACTGACCTGGAGGCTATGATGGGTTTGGAGGCTATGACGGCTCCCAGCAGGAGCCCAGCCTTCTCCCAGGCTGGGGAGTAAGGGCCCAGGCTTGGGGCTGGCACAGCAGCCAGGGAAGCCTTGGAAAGCAGGGAACACTATGGCTTCCCTCCAGACCTGCCAGCCTGATTGCTGGAGAGAGTGCTGGGGAGAAGCAGGTAAGAAAGAGGGGGCTCTGGGATGCAAAGACAGGCCAGGCCACAAAGGCATGCAGGAGGGCTGGGAGCTCAGCAGTGATGAGGCCTGAGGAGGACCGCGGAAATGGCTGGCTGGGACACAAAGACCAAGGACAGGGTCAGCCCGGCAGAGGTCATGGTCCACAGTGCCAGACTCAGATTCCTTCCGTGGGACAACTCTCACTTCGGTAACTTGTGCATTGTTCTACAGATCTGGCAGGACCTTGGCTCCTCCCCAGCCAGGGGCTCAGAGCACAGACTACATGGCTTCCTGCCTCAGCCTTCTGACTGGCTGAGATGACAGGTGTGTGCCACAACATCTGGCACTCTCTAGATCTTTAGTAGAAGCACAATTTTAGCCAGGCATGGTGGCACACGCCTATAATCCCAGCTACTCAGAAGGCTGAGGCAGGAGGATTGAGAGTTTGAGCCCAAGATGGGCAAATTAAGATACTTAGTGAGAACCTATCTGAAGATTAAAAAATTAAACGGGCTGGAGATGTAGCTCAGGTTGAAGGCCCTGGGATTCAATCCCTAGTACCTGGGGGGCAGGAGCAGCAGCACAGTATTTTTCAGGTGTGTACAGTGAATTGAAGAATCGAGACAGCCTACAAGGTGGTCCATGGCCATGCTGTGACCTAAGGTTCTGCATGCCACACCTGTGGGTCCAGGGAACATTAGATGGTATGAGTGGTATCAACATGGAACCCTGAGCAGAACCCTGGGGTCATCAACAGGCAGCTGGTGCCACCTTGCCAGGGGCACAAACAGCCATGGCCCTGTGTAGCAACACAAGAGATGCCATCCAGGTGGTCAGAGGATGAAAGCCATACCCTGTTCCTGGGAAGCAGACCAGAACCTTGTAGCCCCACCAGGCTGGCAGGACACCATTTAGGCCAGACATTGGCTATTGTCCCTGGAGGGAGGGCCAGGGAAGGAGATGGCTCTTCCCTTCATTCAAAGCCTCGAGTGAAATCAAACTGAAGCCCAACACAAGGACCCACCAGGAACCACCCCAAGTGGCTCCTGTTCCTCCCACCCAGCCCCTCATCCTGGGGTAGGTTTTACAACGACAGGTGTCAGGAGCAATTTGAGCGCAGGGTCCACCTAGCCTTGCGCTGTCACACCTGATGCAGGGAGGGGTGAGGGCTCACCTGCATCTTGACTGCAATCACCACAGACATCAGCTCCTTCTCCAGCTCCCTGAGAACTGCCAGCTTCTTCAGGGTCAGGCTGCACAACCTGAAAAGAATGCAGAGCTCAGTCCTTCGGGGCTCCCAGAAGTACCACCCCAGTGTCACACTTGCTGGACACTGGCCATAGCGCTCCCAAGAGCCCCTCTGCAGGTGTGGCCTCTGCATCATCCCTGGGGGTCCCTGCACATGGTAGCCAAGGGCTGGGCTTCCTCTCCTGACTATGGAGATGGCTCAGAGAACAGGCAGAAAACAGGACAGACAGGAAGCCTGAGAACCCCTCAAGTAAGATCACAAAATGGAGGCTCCCAAAGCTCAGGAAGCCAGTCTCAAGCCAAGTCTAGCATCAGCTTTGGGAGCATGGTCCTCCATCACAAAGCCCATCCACTCCTAGGCCCTGCCTCCCCTCACAACTGTATGAGTGCTCTCTCCCCACTCCCTTCCCTCCCTGCTGAGTTCACCTCCACATTCTACTCTAATATCCTAAAGCAGCACAGGACACAGTGCATATCACAGAGGCAACCTGGGGACATGCCCAGTGTCCAGTGGCTCTGTCCCTGGGAAGGGGACACACGGTCACCCTGTCTGCTCTGTAGAAGGTGGCACATGCAGCTGGTTCCTTAGATGAGAGTGCACCTTCCTGAAGGCACCTTGCTATACATGCATATGCAGACACACAACACATATGTACACATACATGCACACACATTACAGGAGTACACATTTATAGCTCATGTGTGCACACAGCACACATGTGCACACATATACACATGTATGCACATCCCCTAGAAAGACCTGTGAGGCACCCAAGGCCCACTGACTCCTGAAGGTGTGGGCAAGCAGTGCCACACTGCAGCTCTCCACAGACCTCTTGGCTCTCTCTGCAGCCTGCTCACTTTTCTACTCAAATGCCACAAAGGATGCCTCCCCATGGGCCAGCACGGGAAAATGTGAAATCGTCTGAAATAAGCCACACCACCCACCCTACAGCTCCAAGTTCCAGGACAAATACATCCCTAGCTGTGTGTGCTGGGTCCCACTGGGGAGATCTCCTGAGCTGCCAGCCCCAAAATGTAACTGAGCTGGTAAATGCCAGGCACAACCCTGCCCAGGCACAGCCCTCTGCCATCAGAACAAATGCCAGCACTTCTGTTAGGGGCCTAAGGACTGTGTGCAAGGACACAGGGCCAGCAACTCATCTTTCCCATTTAGCTGCAGGTTGTGGGGAGTCATATGCGCTCTGGCTGTGTGGCCTCAGGGAGTGGTGTGGGCTTCTGGGCACCTGTCAGCCCACCAGCCCCATCAAGCTGAGCCCAGTGGCTCCACTGAGCTCAAGAGGCAAGGACAGGGATGGCACTTCCTGCAGGTTGCACCCTGCCAATTTCTGTGGGGTCAGCAGAAGGAACACAGCAGGGGGGCAGGGTGTGCCTTACACCCTGGGGTAAGTCGACTCAGACACAAGCAGATCCCAATAGACCCCCAAAAGCCACCAGCTGGGCTGTGTAACTCCATGGGGACCCGGCATGGCCCAGGTGGCATCTTTCCAGCAGGAACTGGTCAGTCTCCCTTACCAGGAAAAAGCACAGACTCAGTGGAAGCTGGGGATGCCTCACACCACGGGCAGCACCAACCTCATGTTTGTGCTGTGTTTGTGCTGGACAAGGGTGACCTCAGGCAGGTAAGTTTAACATTTAGGAGCCTTTTTTTTTGGGGGGGGGAATTTGCCATTTAATATTTTTGGGCTATTGTAGAACTTGGGTCCCTAAAACCACGGAACACTAAACTGAAGGTAAAGAGTGACTATAGTGATAGGAAGACACCTAGAAAGTACCAAGTCTTGGGAAACTGAACAGCATACTCCTAAAAAACCCAGTCAGAGAGGATGTCTCAAAGGAAAGCAGAGCATACTGACGAGAATAAAAAATGAAAATGCAACATTCCGGTATTTGTGGGACACAGTCAAAGCAGTGCCAAGAGGGGAAATCATAGCATTACATACTTATATTAGAAAAGGCTTCATGTAACAACCCAAGCTTCCACCTTAGAAAAATAGGAACAAAAAGAATAAATTAAACTCAAAAGAAACAGAAGGAAGGAGATAATGATACAAGTTGAAACAACTGACTTGAAAATACAAAAACAATAGAGAAAAATAAAACCAAATGCCAGTTTCTTGGGAGGACCAACAAAATTCATAAACTACAGGCAAAGAAAAAAGACAGAAGACAAAAGTTTTAGTTATTAGCAATAAATGAAAGAACTACAGACCTCACAAACATTCAAAAAATTAGAAAGCACTGTAAACTCCAGGCACATAAATTTGACTACTTAGATGAAATATAAAGATACCTTGAAAGTCACCAAGTAACAAAACTCACCAAGATAAAACAAAGAACAAATAGTCCTATATCTACTAAATAAACTGAATTAATAGTTCAAAACATTCTGAAAAAGAAAACTTCAGGCAAATTCAACCAGATATTAAAAGAGGGGATGGGGGCTCAGCAGCACAGTACTTGCCTGGTGTGCACAAAGCCCTGGTAGGATCCATCCCCAGCAGCACAAGATGAAAGAAGAAAGAGTACCAACACTACACAACATCCACAGAAAACATAAGAGGAAGCAGCACTTCCCGAGTCAGCACACCGAATCAGCATTACTCTGCTATCAACACTAGACAAAAAACAGAACAAAACTACAGACCAGTATCTCATGAAAATAGCTGCAAGTCCTCCAGCAAAAGTATCATCAAACCAAAGCTGCCTATATATATAAAAATACTAGTGATATTTCACAATTAAGTAGGTTTGTCCTAGAAAAGCAAGGGTGGTTCAACATTTGAAAATCAATGTAACTCACCATATCAACAAGCTAAGAAACAAACATGTGACACTAGGGTTTGCATGAGTGACCCCCAGGGGCCATGTGCTGAAGGCTTGTCCTCAACTGTGGTGTGGGTGGAAGGAGGTGGGACCTGGTGGGGCCCTGTCCTTAAATGGGGCAGTGGGACCCCAGCTCCTTCCTCACTTTTGTTTCCTGGCCAGGAGGTAAGCCGGATGCTCCCTTCGTATGTGCTGCCTCCTTCTAAGTCCAGGACAAGACAACTGATCAGGTACTAAAACCTCTGAAATCAGGAGCCAAAATCAACCTCTCATCTCTGTGAGCTGGTCATCTTAGGGACTGCTATCACCAGAGAAGGTGACTACATCCAAGATGGTACCAACAGTGAGACCATTGCTGTGACTACAATGATGTCTAGGGTCCCTGGAACAGATTTGGCAGGGATTTGGAAAAGCTTGAGGAGCAGGAAAGGGAAAGTCTAGAATGTTATAAGTAGAGCTGAACAGGAGATTCTGCTACTCACGATGAAAACTCACAGCAAATGAGGAAGGGAAAGAAGTTCCTCCATTTGATAAGATCTATGAACTATGTGGAGCTCAAATGTGGCCAGACAGTGAGGGCCTGACTTGCCCAGAGGACAGACAGAGGCCACCACGCCTCCTCCCCAGCTGGTAGCACTCAGGTGAGGAAGGAAACATAGGTCCAAGGACAGGTAGTGGGGAGGTCAACCAATCCCTGGCAGACACCACAACCACATGGGTAGGAAATTCAAGTACTGAGGGAAGTGTGAGTGCCACTGGCACTGCAAAATGGAACTTTAAAGTTTAGAGACAAGCAGCTTCTTCACAGGTCCTTAGGCCTAGGACATGAACCACTACCCCTCCTCCTCTCACCCAGATGAAAGGGTAGAATGTGAGATGCTGGTCCAGGAGGTCTAGTCCAGTTCCATTCCCTTAGGTGAGGGAGGAGAAGTCTAGGACCAGAAGGGATGAACTGATCCTCAACAAGTCTGCTGTTTCCCTGTACTCACTCTCCCATTGTACCTGCTGTATGTAAAACACCCCCATACCCATACATGGGGGATGGCAACTCGAGGCAAATGGGCCCTTGCATTTCTCAAAGGCAGCTCTGAATGAATCCCTTTTCCTTTTTACCAAAGTAAATAGCCTCCTCTGATTTGGTTAGCAGCAAGCAGGCAAACCTGAGTATGTGAACCTAAGCAGCCAGGAACATGAGGCCCCTGGAACCAGGAAGCCTGGAGAGGCTGTGTGGCATCAGGCCACCTTGGGGAGCACCACAGGCTACATGCTGGAGGTGAACACCTACCTGGAGGTCAGTTTGGAAGACACACATTTCCAACAACTCTGAACAAAGGAAATGCTTAGATCTAAAACAAACTCAGATCTGTATGCTGGAAATTCCCAAATACAAATAACAAAACCAGTATTTAAACAATTGGAGAGACAGCCAAGCTCATGGCTACTATCCATTCCCCTCAAACTGGCCTGCAGACTCAGCACTACTCTTGTGAAATCCAGGAAGCTGACATTAAATTTTATATGAAAGGCAAAGGAGCAGAATGGTCCCAACTACTTGTGAGTGGAAAGCAAAGTGGACTGAGCTCTAGCTCCCAGACACTCAGACTCAGTATGCCCTGTAAGGCTGAGACAGTGTGGTGCCCACAGATGAGCAATAGAACAGGAAGCAGATGAACTGGACTCCACCCAAATTTAGGAAATCTTATTCAAAATGAATAATACTAACACCTGGTGCTGGCAAGGAGGTGGGCACCTGGAGCGCATATATCACTGGTCAGTCTCCAGGAAGGCTGGGCAGGTGCTTAGAAAGTGAAGTGCGCTGTTCCTCTGCAGCCAAGGATCCTCATAGGGATGGCAAACAGACTTCCACACAAAGACTACTCAGGAACACCTAACTGCAGCTCTCTGCACAGCTGTAACCAAGGTCCTTCCCATATGACCCAGGGTTCACCCTGCTTCGCTCACTGGGACCAGCTGTGGACACATGAGGTGCCATGCTGGGAACAGGCCAGTGTGGGAAGGCCTACGTCACGTGGGGAGGCCTGTGTTGTGTCCTTCAGGTGAGGCAGCCGGGAGCCAGGTGGAACTGTCTGGTGTTCTGGCCTGAATGGTGAGGGCACAGGTATCTATATCGATTAAAACTCAGAGCTGTATAAAAAAGGAGACAGAGTGAAATTTTTCTATATAACTTTAAAGAGTTTTTTTTTTAAAGCAGATCTAAGAAACATCACCAACCTCAAACCAGAGCACCAATTTAGACCTTGCTTCAGATAAATTAACTGCAAATACATAAGTATACATACTATTTACAAATATTTACAAACTTATACATAGTTATATACACACACACATCCATGATATTTATTTGGGGATGGAGTTTTAAGGGCTCAATTTTCTATGTTCTGTGCTTGCACAAATCTCATCTGTGGGAGTTTACATTCCTTGGAATTTCTGTGCCTGTCTCAGGTGTGGAGATATCAGTCTGTGCAACACTGATGCTGCCCTGAGGACCCCAAGCTGCAGGAACAGGAGGACCTGTGGAGCCTGTCTTTGACCCCAGGGAGGCAATGCCTTCACACCAGAAAGGAGCACCCAGGCTGCAGGATAAGAGCTCATGCTCCAACATGCATACCCACTCCTGCTCAGAGCTTTTATTTATATACATTTTGATATTCTAAGGTCTGTTCTATTGGCACTATTCATGCAAACAATATTCAAGGGAAAAGAAAAATCATTTGCAACAGAAACTCAGCCAGATCTGCAGAACATGTTCTTTGTCTTTAATCCAAGGTTGGTTCTGAGAAAAAAGACCTCAGAGTTGACTAGATAGCAAGGGCAAGAGTTACTGCATTACATGTGACCTTAGAGGAGCCCAGGAATGCATGCACTGGACACACACTGCTGCCCAAGACTATGATGCATCTCACACCCGCAACTGTCACTCAGTACTCTTTATTTATTTCTTTTTTTGGTACTGGGGATCAAACTTGGGAAGTTGCACTTGAGAGGCAGGTGGCAGAACCACCAAGCTAAATTCCACCTTACTCGGTATTCTTTTAACAGTGTGGACTCCAGTCACAGTGTGAAGCAAAATTCACTTTAACAACAATGTATAAAGACACAGCTGTACAGTCCAGTGAGCTCCGTGCCCACACCCAGAGGTTGCCTGCAGAATCTCTGGGGTACTCACATCTCCTCTCACTATGTCTGCTCACAATGGGGAGCAGAAGACCCAGCTCAGCACTGACCTGCATAGCAGAGCCCACTGCTGCTTGGAGCTGATGTCAAGTGGCAGCTGCAGTCTCAGAACAGCACTGACTCATTCACCAACCTGGGCAGGCAGGGGTTCTCTGCATGATGGGGTTTCCTTGAACATATCAAGAGACAGCCAGAGAAGCCCATAGGCTGCATGCGGCCCCTCTCCCTTTGTGCCAGGAGGTGGCCAAGACTGACAGCTGTCCCTGATCTCTGCCTTTCAGCTTCCTTTGGTATCCAGTTCCCGCCCGGGCCATAGCACCTGTGTGACACAAGGCAGTAGCAGGCATGCTTGGTTAATACCTCACTTCTGGTTCACTGTTGCAGATACCCTGTGTACCCAAGATGATCGGTGATAACATCAGTGGAGCTTACTACAGCCACAGCACACACAGAGTGCACTGCCAGGGTAGCCCTGACCAATGTGGTAGACATCCTAAAGAGCAGACATCTGACCACTGAGGGAGGTAGTGTGGCCTGCCAGCACACCTTGGCTGTGAGCACTTCCTTCAAATTCCCTTGTGGTCCTTTGCCTATTGCCCACTAGGCTGCCTTTCCCTCTAGATGTCTAGGAACTCTTCACTCCAGATGTTAATCATTGGCCAGTATACACTGCAATCATCACCTTCTAGCTGTGTCTGACACACAGATAGGTTCTTAATCCCTTTTTGCACAATTAAATGTGTCCTTTATGACGTGTGCCTCCCAGAAATTCTGTTATTTAATCCACCCCTCCCCACTATTCTACTTCCTCTGTTCCATAACGAGGTCAACTTAGACTGTCTTGTATGCAGCATGAATCAGTAACCTGACTTTATTACTTCCTACATGGACACTCAGTGTGCCCAAGCCATGTTCTCAACTGCATACTCTCTCCTGTTGGAGATGAGTGCCATTTCTGAAGCACGCTGTGGCTGCTATTATGTCCCACTGATCAATCTGTCATACTTCTACCAACTCCGTATCACTTTAATTTGTACAGCTCCTTTAAATAAATTTGCATCTGCTAGGGAAATTACTCCTTGCTGAAGACTGAATGTCTTTGTTTTCTCCATATTCACCCTGAAATCTGAACCCTCATGGTGATAGTATTAAGAGACAATCCTTTGGGAGCCAATCAGGGTATGAAGGGGGGCGCTTCGTGATAGGAAAATTGACTTTAAGGAAGAGACCCAGGAAGGGACACACAGCCCTGTAATCTCAGCACTCTGGGAGACTGAGGCAGCAGGATTGCAAGTTCAAGGCCAGCCTGGGCAATTTAGTGAGATGGGGGTGGAAGTGTAGGGTGTAGCTTAGTGCAAAGGCCCTGAGTTCAATCCTCAATACTACAAAGGAGGAGGACGAAAAGAAGAAGGGAAGAAAGGTGAAGGGAGAAGAAAAGGAACCCAGAGAGTTCCTGTTGCTCCTTCCACCAGATGAGGACACAGTGTGAAGATGGCTATGAACCAGCAAGTGGCCTTTCCAGCACTGGCTGTGGGGCCCTGACCTTGCACATGGGCCTCAGAACCCAAGAAACAAATTTCTGCTCTTTAAGCCCCAGGCTGTGGCTCTCTGCTATAGCTTTGAACACACTGGAACTCCTCAACCCACGCATACCTTATTTTCTTGAAGGTTGCTGTCCATCTCATAGGCTCTTTAAACTAGCTTGCCAAGACCAAAAACAAACTCCAATGGAATTTATGCTTGCTTTTTTTTTTTTTTTTTGGTACCAGATATCAAACTCAGGTCCTTGTGCTTACAAGGCAGGTGACAGAACCACTGAGCTGAATTCCCAGCCCCCCAATGGAATTTATGAAGTAGACTTGCAGCCCGTAGCCTGTGCCCTCATGCTCAGCTTAAAGCTCACTCAGTACTCAGTGCTCTTAGAGCACTGTCTCCTTAATCAGGAGCTCCTCCTGTGTAAGTCTTTGGTGTAACACCTGTGTCCATTATATTTCTAGCCAGCTACTAGTTGCTATGTAGTAGCATTTTATTTTCAAAGTGATGTGCAGGTGTCTCCATCCTATTGAGTCCATGTGTGGATCTTGTAGCAGTTAGCCTTCTAGAGTTGGTTCTAATGGCACAGATACTCACTTAGAAGGTCTGTGTGGACAGTAAGGCCATTTGAAAATGGCAATTTCTTTCTTCCAAGAAGGAAGCCACTGCACTGTCTGTCACCTCAAGAGTAACACTAAACAGTACCTTCCTTTTCCTGATGCTATAGGGAATGTTTCTGATGCTGGCCACCAAGGACAGTATGTCCAGGCAGCACTGTCCAAAACCTTCTGTGGAGATAGTAAGGCCCTTCAGCCAACCAGTGGGAAGCTGGCAGCTGGTACTCACAGAACTGACCATGAATGCCAACAAATGGCCCTTCTTGTGTTACCACACTGGACAGTGATGCTCTTTAGATATAGTAGAACCCCTACAACAGGTTAAAGAAATTTCTACTTATTTCTATACTCCTAAAAATACATGCAAATTTCATCAAATGCCTTTTCTCAATCTATAATCATTTTCCTTTTGGTCTATGGCTGTGCTCCAGGAACAAATACCCTAATGTGAAATCAATCACCTACATGTCCCTGAGGTGACCTTGCCACACTGTACTATGTGTACATGCCTCACTCTAGGCCTTGCCAGGTTCAGTCCATTAGCACTTAGGGTTTTCATCCACACAGGTCCATAAGATTTGCTTACACCTCTCTCCTGAAGGGCCCTGTGGGTTTTCATGATGCCACATTTCAAATATACTATGGGACAAGGTTCATTTCTTAAGAATTTGGTAAAATCACCAGTAAAGCTCCTGATGCCTTTCAGGATAGAAAAGGTTTGATTCCAGCCCTGTTTTCTGAAGACAAGGGGTCTTTCTAGGCAGTGCCTGGGGACAGAAGTGATCCAATTCTCAGATCTTGAAATATCTGCATACATACAATATCTTGGGGATGGGACCCAAATCGAGGCACAGTACTCACTCAAGTCTCACACAGACTTTTCAGGCAGAACACGAGGTGACTGGATACAGGATTTTTAGTGCACTCCCACTGTGACTTTGACCTATCAACAGAGATCGGATATGGTATTTGCCACCTTTGGGGTCACGGCGCTCAAGAAATATTGGATTTTGAAGAATTTTAGATTCCAGTCCAGGGAATGTTCACCTGATAATTCATATTTGTTCTAGAAAATTGTTTTTTCAAGTTTTCATATTTATTTACAATGCTGTTTAACATTATTTTTGGTTTTTAAGATTCCTCTGTTTCATTTCATCTCTAAAATTATATGTATGCTTTCTCTTTTCTTCTTGTAACTTTTGCTAAAGGTTTAATACTTTATTAAGCTTCTCCAAATGATTAACTTCTGGGTTTTATTAATATTCCATATTGTCGTGGGGCCAGGGATTTAGCTCAGTGGCAGCGCACCTGCCTCCTAAGTGCAAGGTCCCGAGTTCAATCCCCAGTACCAAAAACAAAAAATTCCATATTGTTTTGTATTGTCTCTAAGACTTGTTGTTTATCCTCTCCACTCCTTAATTTGAAAAAAAC